GCCGAGTGGTCGCGCAGCACTGACGCATCAACGAAGGTATACAGTATACTGGTCAGCCGGCCATCGCGAGGCAGGTAGAGGTAACTATGAATTATCCACAATACAAACGCTGCGAAACGTTGACTTGCCGTTACTAAATTATTAAGCAGTACGCGACCGGAGTAGAGGATAGCGGATTCGGCGTATCTGTTTTGGGGTAGATGGTATGCGGTGTGTAAATATGTGGCACACTGCCCGCTGTTTGTAATCATTTTGTATGATAAATAAGCATTCTTTTTAACTCATTTCATGTCAATACTAAAAGAAAACTTGCGAGAATGAACTTGGAGTTAGTACATAAAACTATGCAAAGTTAATTTGTTACATTTTGCTAAAATTCTTAGCAAGAAGATTGGCAAGAAGATTAAATTTTCTCCAATATTTGTTTGATTAATGGTGGGAATTTCTTTATTGCTCTGGGAAAGATAATTGAAATTAATTGAATTTCACACGTGTACAAAAGAATCTAATTCATAATCTTGTAAAATGTATGGGAAATGAGCGGCGAGCGATTTGACCGTGACAAATTAATGATGACAGCGTGCGATGCACAGGTTATGTCACAATTGCTTCTATTGTCTACTTCGTGCCAAACACCGACATATCAAGACCTCCCATAACAAACATATCACTATCAAAACACAGGCCTACGGCAGTTCTAAGTAAATAAGCCACATTTGCGGACGCGAAATTATTACGTAAAGATGCAATAAACAGGTTTATGAGCCGTTATTTGTTGTGCATTAACATCTTTATAACTGCCGTGAAATAATCATATAAATAACAGTGTCTGGGTAGGCTCTTGCGATATTTGAGCTATGGTCTATGGTCTATCTATATGACTAAATATATTTATTAATATTGCGTAGGAAAGGAGTTCATGCAGAACGGCTGATTCATATAATTCATTTCTCAATGAAATGACCATGAATGCATGCGTTGAACTGCACAATGCCACAGAATAAGTAATAGTTTGTATTGGTAAGGATTATGAACTGTCTTTAACCTGTTTTCTCTGAAGATACAAGAGAGGTTGGATTTAATAGCCATATAATTTCCAGCTTCAAATATTCCTGACCGAAGATTCTTCTTCAAAAGAAGATTTGAGTGCCTTTCCAAACAGGAACATACCCTTCACGCACTTAACAAAAAATGTTTAGGCTCCACTCGGATACAGTGCGAATGTTGCACCAACAGTTGGGCAACGGAACGCGGCCGCGTGGAACAGTTCACTTTCTTGGTGAGAATCCGGCGCGGGCGCACTCGTAAAATTATTCTCGTAAAATGTTAATTGCACGGTTTAGTTGACGCTCGCAGCTGATTTTCATTAGTGTTCTCGTGTGAAGCGTAGTGCGACCGAACATCACGATGCTGTTGTTAATTTTTTTCTCATTTCTTCTCATTATCCGAGGTAAATTAAGGGTTTGTGTTATAAGATGCTTTCACTCACTATCGTTTGGACATGTAACTGCTGTCACACACGGTGCAAACGGTTTAGCGATTACTTTCATTCAAAGTTTAGAAATACTAATCGTAAATCATTTTCATGTTCCGTTTTGCATGTCGTTTCTAGTAGGACTAGAATACCTAATACCTTAAGTATATCTGAAAATATTTAACGGTTTTTAAATTGACTGAAAAGTGGAATCTATAGTGCTCTCTCAAAAAAACAGATGCTTTGGCGGGTGGACGCACCGTGCTGCGTTTCACGCGCTGAAACCGCTGAATTTAGTCCAATGTATTTTGAGATTATTTTGATCTAGCAATTGCTAAAAATGTTTTAGTTCATATATTTGGACATTTTTGAGATTATACAGTCGCAGTCTCTCCAAATTCATTGTCAGTATTAAAGGTATATTAAAAGTTCTTATACCCCACTTCTAGCTATTTTAAAGTTACACCCAGGTGAGTAACGCGTTTATGACTGGCAGATGTTCCGACTGATGTACTTAAATGGTTAGTTGCGGACGTTAAGTGGAGGTTACGTCACTAGAACTAATATAATTCGATGATGTAAAGAAAGCCATTACCGCTTTGGTAGATCTGAGCCGCAAAGACAATGTAAAAATTGCGAGTCTGATGCTGTAATAGATGGCCTTTGCCCATTGTTGACCGTATTTATTTGTATTGAGCTTCATCATCATCATTTCAGCTACAGGACGTCAACTGCTGAATATAGATTTCCGGATGAGTCTTCGACCTTTATGAGATAGTCTGTCCACTTTGTGAATATATTGAGTTTGAAGATACTTATATCTGTTTGACTATAATATAATTTGTCACCAGCCCTTGCACTTCCGAAAACGATTTTTTTTGAGTAAATATAACCATTTTCAGATTTTTCCTCTCATTTACATTAATTACTAGCTTTCCGGCCGCGGCTCCGCCCGCGTGGAATTTCGTTTGTTAAATTTTCCTGAATTTTCTTTGCTATAAACCTCACGGAGCCTGAGACCTTTCCAACGAATGCAAAACCGTGGAAATCGGTTCGTACGTTCTGGAGTTATAGCGTCAGGGAGGAAAACCCGACTTATTTTTATATAGTAGATTATGGACAATCTACTTTAATTTTTGCTTGGTCCAAAGTTTGAGTGGGAGATATGCCGTGTTTTATCAGAACCGCTTATTGTTTTTATCTGGGGATACCATTATCCCTACCTCTTTACTGTAGAGATAAAGTTTTCATTAGAGATGCAAAAATATAGGTAAAATAAATATGTAATAACTACTCTATCAGGACTGCCTACAAAGAAAAAATATTGTAAGTATGTAAAACTAATTTATTACGACTTACACAATGTAATTTCCGAGTTGATATTCGCGGTTTTTATGGCCCGTGTAATCAATTTTAGTTCCAACCACAGATTACAAAAATATGTACCTAAGTAAACCTAGTGAGCAAATGAAACGCATGCTTGGTTATTTCACCTAAATAGGCAAAACCTTGAAATACTTATAACACTTTACTTTTATCTTAGATTATTTATTATAAAAAGATATTCGATAAATAGGGGGTTGAAAAAGACTCCAATCAAAGAGCGCTTGTCAGGAATAGGTGAGGATAGTTTAGTATCCGAGGCTTTTGTTGACTTGGAGATTAGTTCAAGGATGAAATAGGGCAAGATTTTTGCTAAGATTTTTTTAAATCAGAAAAAGGTTACTTGCCTAATCTGTTGATTTTAAGTGAGATGCAGTCTAGAATAAAAAAGATAGTTAAGATAGTTTAGAATAAAAACTTTAACTGTCTTGGACTTGGATGCGTTAAGATATTATTTTTTTAAAGAATATACCTACCGGTAATGTGTTCCCATTTACTTTGAAAATATTAATAACAGATGTGACTGTGCGACTGGCACGGAAAAAATTAAAACAAATGCACATGTTCCTTTCTAAAAAACATTGTCTTTATGCAGCGATGACCTCTCAAAGTGCGATAAACGTTTCCCGTTCGCCCACGTTTTTGAATGTAATAAGGAAATTAAAGATGCATTCATACAGGCTGTATGCAAAAAAAAAAACAAAAAATACTTTAAATCCGTGTTAGATCCTTTTAATTCGCGGATTTTTCGGACCTTCAAACTCCGCTCCCGGATTCTACTACATTTTAAGAAACTATGGGTAAACTCAAAGTAGTTTCCGCGGAAAATGCTAGTATTTTTATCATTACTCATCCAAAAAGATTAGCCTTTTTGCTAATGAAAATGTGAGGCTCTCTCTGTGGACAGCAATAGGTAATTTATTTATTTATATTACTGAAAATTGCACTAAGTATTTAACATTGTCTGCCAAAAGTGTGGAGATTTCACTTACAGCAAAGTACGGTTAACCTCATAAGGTACATGAACATGACACGTAAAAATTTGCTTCTGCTTTTAAATAGATAATGGCATGTCTAGACCAGTGGCATGTAGAGGCTGTTTCGACATACAATTTGTCAAAAACTGAAAACCACGATGCTGAAGTACTAATCATAAGATAGTATAAGATAGCAATTCGAGGAATGCAATTTTTGGAAATTTTCACGATATAAAACAAGTATATTGACGGAAAAACTACTGAAAGGATTTTCATTATAATTTTCAGGCCTTCACCCAAGTCTTCTACTAGCACTTAGTTCAACAAACTGACATTAAAATATGTATTACAAGGCCCTAGCAAAAACATAAATACATAATTAATATCACGTCTCAGGACTGCTAAACAAAGTCTGCCATGACTCATTGACAATCTGGAAATAGTGGCAGGGCATTGTTTCTGCCTTGCAATACTATGCCTTACCGCCATTTTGTATTTGCACCTGCTTAAAATTAGATAGTCTTAATGACACTTATAAAGAAGGTTGAAAGTGCTTTGCAGATTTAGAATTAATGGTGTTTGTATGTGGTCACTACGAAATTGCTTCTCGTCCATAGGATCGCGATTGACAACGACTCTGTCCTATCTATTTGTGTCCGAGATTAATGTCCTAACAATAGATTAGAGAGGAAGATAAAGACTGAACATAAACTGTTGTTGAGTTGCAATTAGTGCAGTTATAATTTTAGCAACGTTTTCCATTTGTTTTATCTAATTCATGACATCCACAAAAAATAAGACTACTCAAGCAACACAACACTTAAATTATATCAATTGATCATTACCCATACAGACACTTACAAGAACGACGTATTTTTATAGCGGACATGTAGAGTAACATTTTCAGGAAAGAATTTCCACAAATGATATTTTTTCATTCGCTTATACTTTCATGAAAACAATTCTAATTATTTAATTATAATAGAGCATTTTTACGAGTATTACAGTAAGTGTGCCTTTGTTACCCATAAAAATTCTAACTTTTTTTGTCAATGATAATAATATTATGTGCTTATTGGTATGAAATAAGTATAAATAATTGAGTACAAAAGGTGAGCAGTTTTATGAGTAACAGCAGTAAAAAATAAACAAATAGAAAAGCTTACTGTCTCATGGAGCCCCATCGCCGATGTGGCAGGTTCTCTTGATGGCTACAGACAACAAAACAAACGTGAGAAGCAACGCCAGTGCACAAAAAAAACTTATAGCACGAATATTAAATGTTTGAGCACTTTTTTCGACCGAGTACAATTACTTAAGGTAAAATGGAGATAGAATAAAAAACTTTTTTTTTTTCGCAAAATATTCGTGCTATAAGTAGGAAAGTAAAATGAACATAAAATAAAAAGGAAAAAGCTCGCAAACAAAATTATAGAAAGCAAAATACATGTAAACAAAATTGAGCAGAAAAGGTATTAGGTATCATTGGTACACCCACTGATACTTGAGGAAACCTTTCTTTTACTTGTTTTTACCTTTCTCGATATAAATTAGAAAATTGTGTACATACAGGCAGCTGTAATTTGATAGGTAAGTAAATAATTTTATTTAATTACCTAGGTGGTGTCCGCCTTAAACTAGTTCGTGTCCAGGAATGTCTGTTCAGGTTACTGCCTGGACTTCTGGTGCCATTTTCTAATCTGTGAACAAAAAAAAAACAATGAAGAGATTTAAAATTAAGTAAAATAACATTATGTCCAATAAGCTCCCACCAAGATACGCCACAAAGCTTTTTTTATCCAGTCTCTGTCAGCTGACCTCTTGATATCATCTGTCCGTTGAGGAGGTGCAATGGGCGTCCACACAGCCTTTGCTGAGAAATGGACTTAATTTCGAAGGTTTAACTTTAACTTACCATTTGTTTAAAAAAGCTGTTTTTTATGAAACGTAACTTGACTTTATTAATATGTATTTAGCCTATTTCAAATATTTTTACGTCATCATAAATCAATATTTTATGTGCCTATTAGAATTTAAGATTTATTAACATATTTTGAGAAATGCCATAATTTTAATTTGCTCATTAATTTACAAAATATTAATTATAATTTTAACACGGAATCACGTTTTAACGGGGAAGTGTGTGACACGTAGCAACTTGGCTTGAAGCCAGGATAAGCGGCGCAGGAGTGTAATAGTAATAAAAATATGTGAGACGATACATCTTGTATGCTTTTAGTAAAATGATAGCTACCATCCGTCAAATAAGATGCGTAAAATATTGCAGCGAAATGAAAGCTGACTTATTAAATAAATTATCTTCTTGCCTGAGACACAAAATGACTTTCTGTGATAAACTGATGTGTGTCCCGCGAGCAAAAATGCTATCGTAGAACTCTGGTAAAACTTAAAAACTAAATTATCGTTAACAACAATAACAATGAATTAAACAATAATGTTTATTTTCTTTTTAACACTTTCAATTTTTGTTTTGTGATCAAAGGCCCTGCCAGTGTTTGACTGATGTGTAGAATTAGAGCGTGTAAAGTTAGAAGCTTGACTCTACATGAGATGTGATGATAACTTTGTCACAGAACAAGTCATACGGTTCGTCTTGGCAACATACATGAAAAAGTTTTGGTAGCATCTGAAGTTCAACAAAGGGTTCTAAGTCACTAAATGTAGCAAAACATATTAAAGTATATGATATATCTATTTTTCCACTTATTAGTATAAAATAACGCCATGTATTACGTTGTAGAGTAGGTAAAAGATCCGCATAAAGATCTTTTTGCATCCATTAGCAACTACGAGTATAATGATACGCATGAAACTGAATCACACGCCGAGCTTTTTATGGGATCATTGCCTGCCTTAATGTAGCTTTGTAAAACGTATGCCATTACGAGCTGCAATTACATCATTCTGAGCTTTAATTATATGTAATCAAAGCTGTTTTTACTGTTAGCCGGGGTTGATCTTAAAAACAATATTTATAGTTACGGCGAGGTAAACATTTTGTTTCTTTAAATTTTAAGGTTATCAATGAATAGGTAATTGGATTCTGAAAAATCCGTAAAAGCAGAGTAAACATTATCCACCCTACAGCGATCCATAGGTCTTATTACCCCAACTGTGGGGAGTTTTCAGGCCAGTAGTGGACCGATGTGTAAGTAAAGTACCTCTTTGTGTTAAAAATGAGTAATAAGAAAACCTTAATTATTTTAAGGTACTTTTTTAGTAAGTAATTTTCGATTTGGGTTCGATTCCCAAGTGCGGCACGATGTTGGTGTATTGATAAGTTTTGTGTACGAGTATCTAACCACGGATCTAACTGATCTCAGTTCGGCTGGGACATTCCATGCTTGAATGTAGGTACCAGAATGTTCGAAAAGCGGTAGATGTTTACCAAAAGTAAAAAATTAAAACAATCTTGTTCCGATTCCCCAGTTTTCTTTAAATCGGTTCGTTCCGCGTTCACTATCATGAAATCTTCTAAAATCACTTTCACATAATATTATTACTCAGAATAACAACAACGATCTTATTTTAACTAGAAACTTTGATGGCTCTTCTAAAGCTATAAAGTAAGACGTATTGGGACTACCTAATATTTTTTTTTTGCAGAACAAGGCAGGTATAAAATAATAGTTTAAAAACAGTATTCGAATCATTGAATTCTTGCACGAAATCTGCGAAATGAAAAGTGCGATAATTATTTTTAAACATAATTTAAAAAATACCCTTACTCTATTTGTCCAAATCATGCCTTTTGGTATTCTTGTTTAACAAAATAGAACTCCCATAGCTACATAGGTACGAGTACTTACTACTTTTCTATTGACTTTTAAAGTTTTTTTTGAACCAGTGCAATTAGACCCTACATTTCCGGTCTATTCTACTTTAATCCCCTGGATTTGATCACCTAGGTGATCAAAGTTGACTCTAGGCGACACATTGGTGTCCTTTGATCACCCATGGATAAGAACACCTAGGTGATCAAAATGCACATCTTACCAAAGTGTCAAAGTTCACTTTGTTCGCCTGGGTGATCTAATCCAGGTGATCATAGTGGAAAAGACCACATTTTCAACATATTAAGTTACTATCAGCAATACTGACGTGTTAACAGGTGCATCTGCGTCGCCTTCTCCATAGCACTCGAAGTTCTCTGCATCTGAGATGGAGTTGCCAGGGCTGGAGTCAGCCGTGGGGTCTGCAACGCCGGCTGCTTCGGCGCCGTTCTGGAATGTACGAGAGAAGTAGCATTTAGTAAGGTTTAACACTTAAGAAGCAGTCTACCCTATATATAGGTGGTAGTGTAAAGGTAGTACCCAATATTTTACTGGTACTGTAGGTATTTTGTGGTGAATGTGCTAAATTGCTATTGGGAAATTTGGTGTCATTTATATTGGCCTTATATCAACCTATGGATACTTGAGGCTAACACTGCTAGCATCAGCAATATTCTATAATAAACAACTATGATGGATGGTGGTGGTATAGTACGGCCATTCCATACGGAATTGCAGCCAGTCTCTCATGTCAACTTTGGACAACGATTTAGACAATATTTATGTTTCTGAATATAAGTTTTATCAGTGGCCACTCTGTACTGCTATAAAACCCAAACACATTTACGTTAGTCCCTGGCTAAGTTGTTTCTGTTTAAAAAAAANATGCTTTGACGGGTGAACGCACGGTGCTGCGTTTCACGCGCTGAAACCGCAGAATTTAGTCCAATGTATTTTGAGATTATTTTGATCTAGAAATTGCTAAAAATGTTTTAGTTCATATATTTGGACATTTTTGAGATTATACAGTCGCAGTCTCTCCAAATTCATTGTCAGTATTAAAGGTATCAAAAGTTCTTATACCTACCCCACTTCTAGCTATTTAAAAGTTACACCCAGGTGAGTAACGCGTGTTTTATGACTGGCAGATGTTCCGACTGATGTAGTTAAATGGTTAGATGCGGACGTTAAGTGGAGGTTACATCACTAGAACTAATATAATTCGATGATGTAAAGAAAGCCATTACCGCTTTGGTAGATCTGAGCCGCAAAGACAATGTAAAAATTGCGAGTCCGATGCTGTAATAGATGGCCTTTGCCCATTGTTGATCGTATTTATTTGTATTGAGCTTCATCATCATCATTTCAGCTACAAGATGTCAACTGCTGAATATAGATTTCCGGATTAGTCTTCGACCTTTATGAGATAATCTGTCCACTTTGTGAATATATTGAGTTTGATGATACCTATATCTATATGACTATAATATAATTTGTCACCAGCCTGCACTTGCACTTCCGAAAACTATTTTTTTAAAAATTATCATGGACAATCTACTTTAATTTTTGCTTGGTCCAAAGTTTGTGTGGGAGATATGCCCTGTTTTATCAGGACCGCTTATTGTTTTTATCTGTGGATACCATAATATCCCTATCTCTTTACAGTAGAGATAAAGTTTTCATTAAAGATGCAAAAATATAGGTAAAAATAAATATATAATAACTACTCTATCATTCAGGACTGCCTACAAAGAAAAAATATTGTAAGTATGTAAAACTAATTTATTACGACTTACACAATGTAATTTCCGAGTTAATATTCACAGTTTTTATGGCCCGTGTAATCAATTTTAGTTCCAACCACAGATTACAAAAATATGTAAGTAAACCTAGTAAGCAAAGAAACGCATGCTTGGTTATTTCACCTAAATAGGAAAAACCTTGAAATACTTATTACACTTTACTTTTATCTTAGATACTTTATTATAAAAAGATATTCGATAAATAATAGGGCAAGGATAATTCTTGCTATTTTTTTTAAAGCAGAAAAAGGCTACCTACTTGCTTTTTCTGACCGCAATCGCACCTGATTTTAAGTGAAATGCAGTCTAGAATAAAAAAATATAGTTATGATAGTTTAGAATAAAAAATGTAAATTATTTTGGACTTGGATGCGTTAAGATATTATATTTTTTTAAAAGGATATACCTACCGGTAATGTGGGGCCATTTACTTTGAAAATATTAATAACATTTGACTGTGTGACTGGCTCGGAAAAAATTAAAACAAATGCACATGTTCCTTTCTAAAAAACATTGTCTTTATGCAGCGATGACCTCTCAAAGTGCGATAAACGTTTCCCGTTCGCCCACGTTTTTGAATGTAATAAGGAAATTAAAGATGCATTCATACAGGCTGTATGCAAAAAAAAAAAACAAAAAAATAATTAAATCCGTGTTAGATCCTTTTAATTCGCGGATTTTTCGGATCTCCGACTCAAACGACAAAGTACGGTTAACCACATAAGGTAGGCATGAACATGACACGTAAAATATTGCTTCTGCTTTTAAATAGATAATGGCATGTCTAGACTAGTGGCATGTAGAGGCTGTTTCGACATACAATTTGTCAAAAACTGAAAACTCGATGCTGGTACCAATGATGTAAGTATAAGATAGCAATTCGAGAAGTTTGCAATTTTTGGAAATTTTCACGATATAAAGTATATTGACGGAAAATCTACTAAAAGGATTTTCATTATAATTTTCAGGCCTTCACCCAACTCTTCTACTAGCACTTAGTTCAACAAACTGACATTAAAATATGTATTACAAGGCCCTAGCAAAATATAAATACATAATTAATATCACGTCGCAGCCTGCTAAACAAAGTCTGCCATGACTCATTGACAATCTGGAAATAGTGGCAGGGCATTGTGTCTGTCTTGCAATACTATGCCTTACCGCCATTTTGTATTTGCACCTGATTAAAATTAGATAGTCTTAATGACACTTATAAAGAAGGTCGAAAGTCCTTTGCAGATTTAGATTTAAGGTGTTTCTATGTGGTCACTACGAAATCGCTTCTCATCCATAGGATCGCGATTGACAGCGAGTTTTGTCCTATCTATTTGTGTCCGAGATTAATTTCCTAACAATAGCTCTAAGAGAGCAAGATAAAGACTGAACATAAACTGTTGTTGAGTTGCAATTAGTGCAGTTATAATTTTAGCAACGATTTCCTTTTGTTTTATCTAATTCATGACATCCAAAAAAAATAAGACTACTCAAGCAACACAACACTTAAATTATATCAATTGATCATTACCCATACAGACACTTACAAGAACGACGTATTTTTATAGCGGACATGTAGAATAACATTTTCAGGAAAGAATTTCCACAAATGATATTTTTTCATTCGCTTATACTTTCATGAAAACAATTCTAATTATTTAATTATAATAGAGCATTTTTACGAGTATTACAGTAAGTGTGCCTTTGTTACCCATAAACATTCTAACTTTTTTTGTCAATGATAATAATATTATGTGCTTATTGGTATGAAATAAGTATAAATAATTGAGTACAAAAGGTGAGCAGTTGTATGAGTAACAGCAGTAAAAAATAAACAAATAGAAAAGCTTACTGTCTCATGGAGCCCCATCGCCGATGTGGCAGGTTCTCTTGATGGCTACAGACAACAAAACAAACGTGAGAAGCAACGCCAGTGCACAAAAAAAACTTATAGCACAAATATTAAATTTTTGAGTTGACACATTTTTCAGATCTTGTACAAGTGAGGTCGGAGACATCAATTGAGTCGGAGAAATAATATAGGTATTTTTTTTCGCAAAATATTCGTGCTATAAGTAGGAAGTAAAATGAACATAAAAAAGGAAAAAGCTCGCAAACAAAATTATAAAAAGCATAATACATGTAAACAAAATTAAGCAGAAAAAAGTAATTTATTATTGTTTATGTACCCACATACGACTTTGAAGATTTAATTGTTCTCTTATTATTTTTTCGTTTTTATTAGTCATCTTTTTTATCTTGGCTTTAAAATTGGTTGTGATGGGATATAAATCACTAAAATGTGTGAACAGGCAGCTGTGAGTACTTAAACGGATACATAGAACGCCATGGACATTTTAATTTAATTTAATTACCTAGGTGGTGTCCGCCTTAAACTAGTTCGTGTCCAGGAATGTCTGTTCAGGTTACTGCCTGGACTTCTGGTGCCATTTTCTAATCTGTGAACAAAAAAAAAACAATGAAGAGATTTAAAATTAAGTAAAATAACATTATGTCCAATAAGCTCCCACCAAGATACGCCACAAAGCTTTTTTTATCCAGTCTCTGTCAGCTGACCTCTTGATATCATCTGTCCGTTGAGGAGGTGCAATGGGCGTCCACACAGCCTTTGCTGAGAAATGGACTTCATTTCGAAGGTTCAACTTTAAGAAAGTGCCCTGCATTCTTTAAAAGTAAATCAGTGAACGTAGCAGGTTGCAAATCTACCGTCACTTGTTTTGTTCTAAGTTTAACTTACCATTTGTTTAAAAAAGCTGTTTTTTATGAAACGTAACTTGACTTTATTAATATGTATTTAGCCTATTTCAAATATTTTTACGTCATCATAAAACAATATTTTATGTGCTTATTAGAATTTATGATTTATTTAAAATATTTTGAGATGTGCCATAATTTTAATTTGCTCATTAATTTACTAAATATTAATTATAATTTTAACGCGGGATCACGTTTTAACGGGGAAGTGTGTGAGCAACTTGGCGCGATGCCAGGGAAGCGGCGCAGGAGTGTATAGTAATAAAAATATGTGAGACGATACATCTTGTATGCTTTTAGTGAAATGATAGCTTACCATCCGTCAAATAAGATGCGTAAAATATTGCAGCGAAAAGAAAGCTGACTTATTAAATAAATTATCTTCTTGCCTGAGACACAAAATGACTTTCTGTGATAAACTGATGTGTCCCGCGAACAAAATTGTTATCGTAAAACCCTGATAAAACTTAAAAACTAAATTATCCTTAACAACAATAACAATGAATTAAACAATAACGTTATTTTTTTTAACACTAGTTCAATTTTTGTTTTGTGATCAAAGGCCCTGCCAGTGTTTGACTGATGTGTAGAGTTAGGGCGTGTAAAGTTAGAAGCTTGGCTCTACATGAGATGTGATAACTTTTACAGAGCATGTCATACGGTTCGTCTTCTTCTTCTTGTCGTGTCGACAACAAACACAGCGTTGTCAGTAGCCTTCATTAAATCTTCCTGCGTGCAGTTGTACAGTTCGTCTTGGCAACATTTGATGAAAATCACGTAAGAAACAATCATACAGGGCTATACCTACTTTTGCTTTTCTTAGAAATAACGAGATCTAATAGGTATCACGTTGTAGAATAGGTAGTAAAGTAAGAGATCCGCATAAAGATCTTTTTGCATCCATTAGCAACTACGAGTATAATGATACGCATGAAACTGAATCAGATGCCGAGCTTTTTATGGGATCATTGCCTGCCTTAATGTAGCTTTGTAAACCGTATGCCATTACGAGCTACAATTACATCATTCTGAGCTTTAATTATATGTAATCAAAGCTGTTTTTACTGTTAGCCGGGGTTGATCTTAAAAACAATCTTTATAGTTACGTCGAGGCACAGATAATATAATACTAGTGTCGATTTAAACATTTTGCATCTTTAAAACTTTTAGGTTAACAATGCATAGGTAATTGGATTCAGAAAATTCCGTAAAACTAAACATTATCCACCCTACAGCGATGCATGTCTTATTACCCCAACTGTGGGCAGCATCACTGCAAGAGGCCTATAGAGGCCTAGACAGGCTGCTCACTTTTTGAGGGGATCTGGGGTGGTTAGAGTAGGAAGATAAACCACAAATCGCGCACAATGGCCCAATCATGAGGCTAAGCGCGGTATTCGATTGCCCTGCAACTAACTAACCCCAACTATGGGGAGTTTCAGGCCAGTAGTAGACCAATATGTAAGTAAAATGGGTACATACCTCCTGGTGTTAAAAGGAAGAAGGTTTCCTCAGTAAATTTCGATTTCGGGTTCGATTCCCAGGTGCGGCACGATATTAGGTGTATTGATAAGTTTTGTGTACGAGTATCTATCTGATCTCAGTTTGGCTGGGACTTAACATGCTTGAATCTACCAGATTGTACGAAAGCGGCAGGTGTTTACTAAAAGTAAAAAATTAAAACAATCTTGTTCCGATTCCCCAGTTTTCTTCAAATCGTTTCATGCCGCGTTTACGATCATGAAATCTTCTAAAATCACTTTCACATAATACTTATTATTACTCAGAATAACAATAACGATCTTATTTTAACTAGAAACTTTTACGGCTCTTCTAAAGCTATCAAATAAAGACGAATTGGGACTACCTAATAAATTTTTTTTCGCAGAATAAGGCAGGTATAAAATAATAACTTAAAAACAGTTTTCGAATCTTTGAATTCTTGCACGAAATCTGCGAAATGAAAAGTGCGATAATGATTTTTAAACATAATTTTAAAAATACCCTTACTCTATTTATTTTGTGCAAATCATGCCTTTTGGTATTCTTGTTTAAAAAAATAGAACTCCCATAGCTACATAGAGGTACGAGTACTTTTTATTTTTTATTGACTTTTAAAGTTTTTTTTGAACCAGTGCAATTGGACCCTATATTTCCTGTCTTTAATCACCTGGATTTGATCACCTAGGTGATCAAAGTTGACTCTAGGCGACACATTGGTGTCCTATGATCACCCATGGATGAGATCACCTAGGTGATCAAAGTGGACTTCTTACCAAAGTCAAAGTTCACTTTGTTCGCCTGGGTTTTTTATTTATTTATTTTTTTATGTGATAGTGAGGCAACCGAGCAGACGGATCACCTGATGGTAAGTGATTACCGTCGCCCATAGACACCTGCAGACCCAGGGTCGTTACAGGTGCGTTGCCGGCCTTTAAGATAAAGATCTAATCCAGGTGATCATAGTGGAATAGACCACATTTCCAACATATTAAGTTACTATCAGCAATACTGACGTGTTAACAGGTGCATCTGCGTCGCCTTCTCCGTAGCACTCGAAGTTCTCCGCATCTGAGATGGAGTTGCCGGGGCTGGAGTCAGCCGTGGGGTCTGCAACGCCGGCTGCTTCGGCGCCGTTCTGGAATGTACGAGAGAAGGAGCATTTAGGAAGGTTTAACACTTAAGAAGCAGTCTGTCCTATAGATGGTGGTGTAAAGGAGGTACCTACCCAATATTTAACTGGTACTGTAGGTATTTTGTGGTGAATGTGAAATTTGGTGTCATTTATATTGGCCTTATCTCACCTTTGGATACTTAAGGCTAGCACTGCTAGCATCAGCAATATTCTATAAATAAACAACTAATATGGTGGTATAGTAACAACCATTCCATACGGAATTGCAGCCAGTCTCTCATGTCAACTTTGGACAACGATTTAGACAATATTTATGTTTCTGAATATAAGTTTTATCAGTAGCCACCGTCCCTGGGTAAGTTTTATTGTTTCTGTTTGACAAAAAATATTTAATTAAAATAAATTACTGAATAACAATATTTAATAAGTTTTTAATTTTTTATCTATCTATTTATCACTTTCTTCATCAAGAGGTTCTCTACAAAAAACTATTGCTCATTGAAGAACTAATAATAATTATGATCTATTGCCAAGTGGCTGAGCTAATGAGCTGTTACGTACGATAACAAGCTATTATTTTTTGTTGACGAGCTCATCGATGGTCAGAGCCGAGCTATAAAGATGATGGATGATGATGATATGATGCTTAGATGGGTTTTGCTCAACCGAATCAAACAAACTTAAGAATGATGAATTGAAAAACTTATTTTTTAATAAAAAGCCTCAGATAGATAAAAAACGCTGCTTCACCACTATTAATCAATCAACCATTACCAATAATATTTAGGAAAGTATGGTACATCATGTAACGGCAATATTCCCACCTCTCGTTTCCAACGCTGCAACTCCTGTGTAGCCAGGATGTACTACAGCTTGACCGCCAATAAAAACCCAACCAGTGAAGGTCATGTTTGTCCCGGGGGAAAGTTAAACTGTTATAGGACAGAAATTAATCTGAAGAACATAGGAGGAGTTAGAAGTTAACGTCCGACTTCCAGTGCAAAGCGGATAACAGGTGACAAAACCAAAGTTGAGTAATACTCGTAGATATACTATGTAGTGTTATTTTATGCAGTGAAAAAGTTTCTTTTATATTATGTGAAATGAAACAAACAGGCAGGAAACTTAATAAAGCCTGAGTAAATGGAAGGTATTATTGTCTTAACCTTGACACAGCGATCGATACCGGTTGGAATCGATGGACAGCAATTATCTCTAAAAATAGAGACTGAATGACAATCGTGGTCGCGGATAAAGGGAATGTAAATAAATCATTAGTCGTAATAGGTCAAGTGTTCATAAAATTGACCATTATGTAAACAATGTTATACACGAGTTTTTGTGTGACATAATTGTGCTGGCATCGTTATTATAATACTCGTACCTAGTTGCTGGGAACTGCTAGAGCTAGAGCTAAAGAGGACTGAATTTAATGTAAAATGACCACATCATTCAAATAATGTAACATGTTACATAATTTATTATAACAAACCGGTGAATAAATAGTCGCCAGGAGTTCCAAGAATTGGAACTAGGAAGGAAGATTGGAATATTTGTTCAGTCAGTGCTCCATATTTTGCAGTTTTACTATTAAAAATATTTTTTTGGTATAGGTACCTGTAGTTTCCTTGGTAAGTTCCCTGGAGATGAGCGAGGCGACTTCGTCCTTTGGAACACGCTGGGCGCCATCATGGCCGCCGGCGCCTTCAGTTCTGGAAATAAGAAAACATAGGATTATATTAATTAATAATAAAAATAAATCCCATTATTATTAACGGTAATAGGACACTGTTGCATCTAATTTGAGTAGAATCTCAATTTATAGACAAAAAATTTACATACATTGGCTTATAGCTTTCTATATCATGGTTTAAATTTTAAAGGGGTAGTAAAATGGCGCACTCATCTCAACTGTAGTTGAATCAACAGAATAACCTAATTTTGCAAATGTTATTCGGCATGATCTTCATTTACAAGAAAATGTACTTTCAGTATAAGCAAAAAAGAAATCATCTGCAAATAACGCGTTCTTCTGATAAGATCAGTTTTAGTTAAGATAACGATAAAAATGTAGAGCACAGTTTGTGCACGTTTTATTTTAGTGAGTTACATGCACTTTACGTATTTAGTTGCAAGACTTGTCTCACTGACCAGCTAACATCAAAATCATCAGGTCTGCATCGACTCTACAGTCTATTATCCCTGATCGACCTAGACGCTAGTAAGCTTTGTTGCCTATTACTGTCTATCTCATTTCCTGGTGCATCAGCTGGTAGTAGCATAGTAGCAGCCGCCTCACACGTTGTAGCACTTTGGTCACCAAGGTCTAGCATCTATTGGTCCTGATTAATTTGAGATCGGATGCTACATTAGCATTGTTTGCCTACCATACATCGCTTCGTGCAGTAGGCGACAATACCACAGCAGCAGCCGCCCCAGCAACACTAGGCCTTGCGACATCAACATTATAATCTATTGATTCTTCATCTTTAAAGGCTTTGCTACACTTTGTTACTTTTCTCATTGCCTACCATATATCGCTTCGTGCAGTAGACGAAAATACCACAGCAGCAGCCGCCCCAGCAACACCAGGCCTTCCCACCACGCCTGCAGTAGTCGCGCGAGCTCGACCACGTCGCGAGTCACCACGACCACCGCCTCCGTCATCGACACTAGCATCTACGAGTATATCGTCCACTACATCACTTGAAAGTTTTGGATCTTCAATTGTTTTGTTATCGTTTCCATATTGATCACTTTGTCACTTGAAAGTTTTTTACTGTCACTTGTTTCATAATTGTTTCATTCTGTTCATTCTCGGACTGAACGGATTGACCGAAGACCTATTTAATTGAAGTCAGTTGTAGATGTAATCTGCTAAGAACCACTCGCTGTGGATTTTTTGTTTCTTTGATTTGATGATGTAGAGCCATGAATTTTTTGCCTATCACCTAGGTACCTATGTTCAATCTACACACACATGAAAATTAATTACTACAATATTGTGAAACCGTAAAGTTTTCTAGTTAGCTACAGTTGCAAAAATATCATCCACCTACACAATATTACACTTGAGCGTTAGTTTGGTGACAAGTTCCAAATAAGTAGGTATTACTATTCAAGTGCTTGATTGATAACTTATATGGTATCTTGGAAGACCTTCGGAAACTTGACGACCTCCATGCTTTTGCATCACCAACCACATCTGGCCTCGCCCTTATCAAAATACTTATGCATCACATTTGCACATATTTATATTTATAATCTGCACTCTAGCCAATTTACGGTTTCCATTTTGGAAAGCGGACTTTACTTTTAGCATAACGTTTTGAAGTTGTGGTTATCGTCGATTAAGTTTAATAGCAATTGCTAACTTTCTGCAAGTAAGTGTGGATTTGCTAATCGATCTATTAGTTTGTTCACTTTGAATTTCGCTGTACATTTCTGAGCGATCTAAGATTGTTATTCAGAGCGTGACGTCTGCAGCGGCGATGTATTGCGATCATTCGCGGCTGGGATGAATGATGTCGCTTATTATGTCGTCATTATGGATTGAAATCCATAAGAGACTAATTGAAGGCGACAACGGCCTATCACGTGACTAGCGGTGATACATCGCTAATGTAATTGCAGACGAAGTGATGATGGTTGATCATTGATCTCGTACATGAGATTAATTGTTTTAAGAATTGAAATCTCTCGCTTGTGCCACAAGAAGATTATGCTAAGAATTCAGCTCATTGAAAGTCATTGAATTTCCATTCCATTTCTAAAATCAAGTAAGTCTTACTACCGAAAATGTCGAGAAAGTTCGTCAAATATAACGACTCTTTGGACTTCATTTAGTAAATGTAATTATAACTACAAGTCTTCGGATATACCTAAGGAACTAGGAAAGGGAACTAGTTCATGCGATTAACATGAAAGTCAGCAAATGCACCTCGCCTCGCACGGCTATGACAAGAATGCGGGGATAGCGGTACAGCTGGCCGATTGCCCGCCGATTGAGAGACCCACCGTTTTGAATTAACTTTAATAGCTCCCAGCATTAACTCTGTTTTACACGAGAAACGCGGTTATGATTGTAAAAAGTCTCGTTAAGTTAACCAGCAGAATATCCAGGTAAATGATCGCATAATTTTATTTTATTTTCATTGGCAAAAGAAATTTATGTCGTTAGCGTGTTTAGAATTGCAGTGCTTCACCTAATTTTTCTTTCGCTTCAGGTAAGTGGGTAAGTTTATCGTTTTCTATTTCATTAAATAAAGAGAGTTAAATAATGTTAAGCTAACTGAAGTGCATAAGCAGTTTATTAAATTAATTTCATCTTGATACTCGCACTTAGATGGAGATAAAATAATTTTAAATATCTGTTTACTATTCGAGAACCGAGCGAAAGTCCACGCTCTCTGCACAAGCATTTGATTTGGTTTGGCGCTATCGTCGCATGTTGACACCGATATTACCCGTTTGACACATTAATCGATATCTGACTAATCGATTTATCAGTGTGTAAATGATGAAGATGGATGTGATCGAAAGTTTACAAATCGATTACATTTGAATCAAAGTCTTTTCGATTACTAATTCCATTCATTTTAAAGTCTGATACATTTCGTATTTTCCATCTGAGAAATAATGGGTTCTCCACTCTTTTAATTCCTTTTAACGCCAAAAGGTAAGACCCAACTTGTGTCTTTTTTTCTGGCAGGTCCAATCTACATAATTTATACCAATTTATCTAAAAGTTTAGGGTTTTGTTAAGGCGTAAAAACACATTATACAAAGATAGAATTTTGTTAGTTTCGCCATTATAATATCAACAATATTATCTCAATAACAGAACAGAGGTTGACCAGATTTTTTTTTAGAGTTAGTGACAGTTTCAATTGTTTAACCACTATGTAACGCTGTGCCCGTTTTGAGTAACAGTGGTAACAGTTTAAACAGCAATTTAGTTAAACTAGGTAAAACTGTTTCCTTATCAAAGACGACGTAACTCGCATTTTAAGAGCAATTTCCTTGTGATCCGGTTGACATAGTTACCACAATATTTATAAGGCGACAGCACATCAAATTATATTTTATAGTTGCAAAATAGCACATAATTATAGCTAACATAAGGTGCTCCAAAGACAAGCTTGATGTTCTTTAGTTCGTATTTGTATGAAGTCTGAAAACAGTTAAACTTATTCTTGCGTAAGTTCATGTTTGAATCTTAGATAACCTTCTAACTTTGGTTTTTCTCATGCGAAATTTCACTTAAAAAGTTAGAGACAAGTGCACTCAAGTTAAGGAATGGATTAAAAAAATAAAAAGTGGTATAAAATGACGACGTAGTGAAGGCCAATGACCTCATGTCACAATGAACGTAACAGAAACAAAACAATTGCATGCACAATNTTTAAGGAGCTTACTTACCCCTCTAAAACTTGCGCCACAGATAATCTTTCGTGATTTCTCTTGTTACAAACCGAAATAAAAAAGTGGTTTGTAAATAGTTAAAGCCACATCTAAGCTACTTTTAAAACCGTGTATTTATTATATTCTGCAAGTTCGAATTTCAAAATTAGCTTAATTGGTAACTTTTTAGCAGTAAATTTAATCTGTAACTTGCTGCAAATATCTAATGAATTCAAACAAATTATTTTTAAAAATAGCTTCGATACATATTATACATTTTTCAAACCACTTTTTTAATTTCGGTCTATAACAAAAGTAATCAAGAAAAAATATGGTGGCGCTGGTTAGCTATGGTACAACCCTTAATAATATTAAGTACATGTTTTTCCTTCTAAGTTCAATGAGCACTATGTATTGTATACAGGGTGTTTCTTGTAAGGTGTCAAGCCGAAGGCAGGTGATAGGTGAGGACTAGACCTATTGATTTCACCCCTATGTATGTTGTACGATTTTTCGTAGTTTAGAAGTTATCGTTAATTTTGTGATTTTTTCAAATTTTATGACCTAGTAGGCTTTAAATTTTTTTATCTTTTTTTGGGTTGACTTTTCTCAGATTTCTTTTTTTTGACCTTCCTATCTTTGATAAAAGATACAACATTTTCGCCAGAAACATAAAAAATATGCTTTTAGCAGAACATTATAAAATTTTCAACTTAAAAGTTTGAAAAAAAAAAGAACTTTCATAGGTCCAAAATAGTTTTAAAAACTGCGCAGTTTTCTAAACTTTCATAATAATAAAAAAAAATATGTACTTAATCCGCCATTTTTTTCTCTAATCGCTCCACTAAAGTGGTAAGTCGGAGATTCAATCAAAAAAAAAATCAAAGGCAAGAGCTCCTCGCTGTGGATAAAAAAATGTTCTGTTCAGTTATTGTCTCTAAATGTATTCTACGTAACGTAAACTTAGGGGATTGCAAACATTAGTTAGTCCTAAGAATGTCAAAAACATGTAACGGAATCTCCGACTTACCACTTTAGTGGAGCGATTACAGAAAATAATGGCCTATTAAGTACATGTTTTTTTGTATTATTATGAAAGTTCAGAAAACTGCGCAGTTTTTAAAATTATTTTGGACCTATGGAAGTTCTTTTTTTTTCGAAGTTTTAAGTTGAAAATTTTAGAATGTTCTGCTAAAAGCATATTTTTATGTTTCTAGCACAAATTTTGTATCTTGCATCAAAGATAGGAAGGTGATAATTTTTTTCAGACATCTGCAATTAATAGGGAATAGGGAATCTGTCAAAAAAA